AAAAAAAAAAAAACTTTACTCAAATAAAATGTTTTAACATTAATTTATATTTAATTTAGTGATTCCTCTGAGTACCATCTCTTTGATTAAATCATGAAGAATTTAAGGCCATCACAAACATGGCTAAATGGCATCTGGGGGAACGATGACAATTGGCATTTCATATAGGCTGGGCACGTATACAATTTATGTCAGCTTACCTTATTTGCCTTTTGAAACAAAAACGAGGCAATGCTTTTGTGTTTGGCTGCTTCATCTTTCTGGTTGTTGCAGGCAGACTACAAGAAACTGGTGCTGCAGCTGAGACAGGCACAAGTAAGGCTACTAAACTCCCTGCATCTTTAGGACCCTGTTTAGAAGAAGATGACGTACCATTCACTGTCAAATAGGAACAGGCTACACATATGTGGCTAACACCAAACGTAATCGTAATTTATTTTCTCCTTGTCACTAAAAGATGTCTGAAATAAACATGTTAAAACGTAACATTGGGGTATGGCTTGAATTACAATGAATGTGATGTTCGTTGTGGGAAGTTTTAGTTAGAGAATAGCGCAGGCTATTTTCTCTTATCAAAAGTGCGGGGGTCATGACCCCTGTCCCCCGTGTCGACGGCCTGATGACTGATATCGTCCTGGGGGTATTATTCCAGAAAGCAGGTTGTGTGACATACCCGGGTATGTTTAAGGGAGTGGAGGTGATCTTCAGTGTGTGAGAGCTGCTCCAGCTCAGTGTTTCTCATCTTTAGCTCAGTGATCTCCTGCTCCAGCTCTTCAATCAGCTCTTGCTCCTGTTTCTCTGCTGCTTTCTGCTGCTCCTCCATCATCTCCAGCAGTTCAGTCTGACGTCTCTCAATGGAGCGGATGAGATCAGTGAAGAGCTCGACACGGGCTGCTTTCTCCTTCTCTGTGTTTCTCTGGTCAACCAGGACAGTCAAATTATTAGTGTTGTTTGCTAAGAGAAGAATCCGTGTAACTATTGCTCATAATGTTTTTTCCACATACATACATGTGTTTTTAAGGGGTTTCAGAATCTCTCAACTGAAGTATAAACTTCATCCTGCACCGTTTGCACTGAATGATTCCTCAAATCATGTGTTTTTCAATCATGTTGAGGTGTGCTTTTACTTTACTAAGTGATCGGGTAATCACAGTCATGTTGATAATCAGACCAACAGTGTGAGCGCAAGTGTACATCAATAAAATAGATTATTGTCAGTTGTCTTGTTTGTAGGGGAGCGCGGAGCACAAAGTAACGCACGGTTAGTTGTAACACACGTGGTTTAAATATTTCCACACATGCTAGCATAACAAAATTTACACTATAATAACTTCCGGGGGGATTTTCTGAATGTCTGAATGTGTTTCTTCATCTATTTGCCCACATTGTTTTTAACTATGCTGTATAGCTATGAGTTTCGATCAGGGCCGTCCCAAACATGGTTGCAATGTGTTCATTGTCAAACTCCAAAATTAGATAAAATACAATTTTAATTCTTAAAAAAGTCACATTTCACCTCTATTTTTTGGGTAAATAAAAAAAAATGTAAAGACTGTAATTATGTGTGCATATTTGTACTAGACAAGTGTGAAATTAATGTGGATAAAAAATTACACTCTGAACCCCATGTGGATTTACACAGACTGAGAAAAGTCAAAAAGTGTTAGTTTGTGCCCCGCTCTCCCGTATTTGCTCCGACCCCCGAATATACTAGTTTCAAACAAAGCTGCAACAAACTGTATAGCGGTGATTCATTCCTGTTTTTAAATGAATCGTTTTTAAGTGAATGAATCAACATCAATGACACAACCATAAAGACAGTGATTTGTCGCCACCTACTGGTGAAACAATGTAACCCACAGGAAGAGTCGCTGTAAAATCCCCAACACTAATACACAGGGTGCTTCTCAAAACTCAAATGAATGCTTCCTCATTTCCTCACTCCTCCATCTTTCAGTCCATGACCCAGAAACTGATCAAAGTCAGACATCTTGAAGGACATTTCAATTCTCTAATTGTACTGCGTGGAACGAGGAGTGAGGAAGCTTCCAGAGGAGCTACACTGAACAAAAATATAAACGCAACACTTTTGTTTTTGCCCCCATTTTTCATGAGCTGAACTCAAAGATCTAATACTTTTTCTATGTACACAAAAGGCCTATTTCTCTCAAATATTGTTCACAAATCTGTCTAAATCTGTGTTAGTGAGTACTTCTCCTTTGCCGAGATAATCCATCCACCTCACAGGTGGGGCATATGATTATTGCACAGGTGGGCCTTAGGCTGGCCACAATAAAAGGCCACTCTAAAATGTGCAGTTTTATCACGCCTAAGGCACACCTGTGCAATAATCATGCTGTCTAATCAGCATCTTGATATGCCACACCTGTGAGGTGGATGGATTATCTCAGCAAAGGAGAAGTGCTCACTAACACAGATTTAGACAGATTTGTGAACAATATTTGAGAGAAATAGGCCTTTTGTGTACATAGAAAAAGTCTTAGATCTTTGAGTTCAGCTTATGGAAAATGGGGGCAAAAACAAAAGTGTTGCGTTTATAATTTTGTTCAGTGTATATGCGAGGATATGCCAATGGTTTTGTGGAAATTGCCATCAGTGACAATTGGGTAGTGTGTGTTATCAAAGACACAATCTGAGAGAAGCACTGATGCATTGCTGATGCCTGTGAACTATTTGGCACGCTAAATATCTGGACCTGTTGGCGACTCACAGTTCTGCAGTGTGAAATGTGTTTTGATTGGAAATAACATCGGTGACGTGCTACAGCCAATGAGAGAGCAGATACAGGGCAAGGGAGCGTTCAAGAGGTAGAGTCATAGATCTGCAACAGATCATCAGCATATTCTTCTTTTTCATCTTTTTTTTTCACTGCAAATCCCTGTACAGACAACTTGGACTGCAAGCTTTTTGCAGGCTACTGTTTTTGACAGGAATAAATACATTCTCGCACAATAATGCCTGTCTCCCGTGTGACCTTACATTATTATTATTATTATTATTATTATTATTATTATCAGTTCTCATGTGTTTGCTTGTGAAGCGTAGTTTGTAGACCTGACGGAGTTGTCAGCGATTCTTCTTATTGAGAAGTTGTGTAATGTGTGATTCCTGTCAACAATCCATCATGTGGTGTGAGAAAAAGCAGCGATCCCACGACTTTGAAAATGGTGCAGTGTGAACTCGGCACGCAAGGGAAGGAAGTGAGGAAAGGAAACGAGGATGCACAAATAAAAAATTAGAAGCACCTGCTAAGTTTCAAGCAAGAAAAATCTGCCTCCGAAGAGCACTTCAGAGTATCATGGCCGCCATACTGCATACAACTGATGGACACTTTTCACTTCCATGATTCTTTGTGCATATTTAATTTGTGATGCAGATGTTGTAAAAGTGTTTATAAGGAACAGGTTTTGGTCCACTAGACCCTTCATTCCTTCAAAGCTCTCACTCTGGAGGGTAAACCCTTAAAAGGGATTAGAGCAGTGATGAGCCCTTCAGAATAAAACACAGCCACCCAACTATACTAATGCAACAAAATGATATATATTTAAATGTATTTTATTATTTCTTTTTAAACTCACTTTTCTGACTTCTGCTGAGTGTTTGATGTCTTGAATCTTCTTGATTGTGTTCTGGATCATCAGCTGCACGTCTTTCTGTGTCTTCATCAATTCAGTCTATAGAGAGAACAACACAGACACGTTTATCATAACACAGATTAAACTCACAATATGTTTTCATAATGAGCTTTCACAACATGAAATAAAATCTGATTCCTCATGATATCAGTCCTTTAAAAGAATAATAACTTCTACCTTCTTCTCTTCGCTCTCCTCTTCTATAGGAACAGTGTTGTGGTTCTTGTGGTCTGTCTCAGTGCAGATCGAACACACACATGTCTGATCATCTCTACAGAACAGATCCAGAGGTCTCTCATGTTTCTGACATATATAGTCCTCCAGATTACTCACAGGATCCATCAGTTTGTGTTTCTTCAAACCTGCCACTCTCAAATGACGCTCCAGGTGAGTTTCACAGTAAGAGCTCTGACACACCAGACACGACTTCAGGGCTTTCAGCTTTCTTTCCTCACAGATGTCACACACAACTTCAGGCTTTTTCTCAGGACTTTTCTTCTTATAGTGATCTACGAGCTCTCGGAGTGTGGTATTAATCTTGAGATCAGGTCTTTGCTTGAATGTTTCTTTACAGTATGGACAGCTGCAGGTCTGGCTGTTGTCCCAGCACTTATTCAGACAGGTCTTGCAGAAGTTGTGTCCACATGGAGTCGTGACTGGATCAGTGAACACATCCAGACATATAGAGCACTGAAGCTCCTCAG